GGTTCATTCCACCGATGCAAGGTTGGTTCAACATACAGAAATCAGTAAATATTATTCATCCCATCAATAGAATTAAATCATGAATCATATGAACATGAAAGGGTGTTTTGAACATGAAAGGGTGCTGTGTTTTGTAAATGCTTTCTCTGCATCAATTGATATAATCATGATTCTTTAAGTCTTATTGATATGATGAATTATATGAATATAGAGTCGTGTCATCAGCAAATAATGATAGTCTAAGTTCTTCTTTTCCTAACTGTATCTCTTTCTCAATTAATCCCTTTAATTTCTTTCTAATTTCTATCTAATTGCTCTGGCTAGAGTTTCAAAGACTATTTTGGATAGAAATGGTGAAAGAGGGCATCCCTGTCTTGTTCCAGTTTTTAGAGGAAATGCTTCTAATCTTTCTCCATTCAGAATGATGTTGGTCTTGGGTTTGACATAGATAGCTTTCACAATGTTGTTCCTATTATCCCTAGTTTTTATAGTGTTTTGAACATGAAAGGGTGCTGTATTTTGTCAAATGCTTTCTTTGCATCAGTTGATATAATCATATAATTCTTTAAGTCTATTGATGTGATGAATTATATTTATTGATTTCTGTATGTTGAGCCAACCTTGCATCGCTGGAATGAACCCCATTTGATCACGGTGCACTATTTTTTAAATATGTTTTTGTATGCAATTTGCCAGAATTAAAAAAAAAATTTCTGGTTGTTGATGGACCTTTATTTTATTAATTTTTATGTGGTGCTGAGACTCAAACCCTAGTGCCTCACACATATTAGGCAAATGCTCTGCCACTGAGCCACAACCTCAGCCCCTGCCTGATTTGCCAGAATTTTATTAAGAATTTTTGCATCAATGGATAATGGTCTGAAATTTTCTTTCCTTGATGTGTGTCTGCCTGATTTAGTATCAGGGTGATACTAGCTTCATAGAATGAGTTTGGAAGGGTTCGTTCCTTTTCTGTCTCACAGAATAATTTGAGGAATATGATATTAATTCTTCTTTGTAGATTTTGTAGGACTCAGCTTTGAATTTGGGCTTTTCTTGGTTGGTAGGCTTTTGATGGCATCTTCTACTAACTGCAGTTTTTAAGTTTTCTTTCTCTTTTTTCTTTTGCAGCCCCTGGGAATCAAACCTAGGGTCTCACACTTGCTAGGCAAGCATTTTACTACTGATCTATGCCCTCTAGCCTTAAGATTTCTTTATGGTTCATTTATTTCCTAAGATATTTTCCAGTGGGATGTACAATCAAATGCTATATTTTATTTATTTATTTAGGTACCAGAAATTGAACGTAGGGGCATGTTCAATTGAGCCACATCCCCAGCCCTTTTTTATATTTTATTTAGAGACAGGGTCTTACTAAATTGCGTAGGGTCTTGCTAAATTGCTGAGGCTTGCTTTGAACGTGTGATCCTCCTGTCTCAGCCTCTCAAACTGCTGGGATTATAGGCCTGTGCCACAACACCTGGCCCAAATACTGTATTTTAAAGCCACTTGAAACAATTATTTTCTATGTGATTATGGAACAAACTTGGTAAGCAATGGGTTTGGGTTTATTTTAAATTTTTTAGAAATTGTACACCTTCCATTTTTAGTGTTTTTAAAAATTTTTTTTGTTTAATTTTGCATTTTCACTATTTTTCAAGTGTCACTATTCAATATCTGAACAAAATGGTAAATTTATTGTGTATTATGCAGAGATAGCTGTGACTGTAGGGCATGCTTTTTCTGAATGAAGCAAACTACTAATGTATTTGATTTGGGAATTGTGTTCAGGGATTGGTAAGACAGAAGAATTTAGGCATAGAATGACCTTGTATTATGCAAATGTGGTTATGAAGTATGGCTGTTATTGATTGGTTGACTTTCTGAATGTTAATCATTCTTTCGAAGCTATTATCATTATTTGATTGGTTGGTTAGTTTGTTTTTTTTTCTGGTACTATGGACTGAACCTAGGAAAACTCTACTATTGAATAATATCCCCAGCCCTTATTTTTTATTTTGAGACAAGGTCTTGCTAAGTTGTTGAAGCTGGCCCTGAACTTGTGATTCTCCTGCTGCAGCCTTTCCAGTCTCTGAAATTACAGGCATGTGCCACCAAGCTATGTTTAAATCCAGTTTCCATGATCATTTCCTATATTGTTTTTTTGAATTTGGAGTATTGGGATTTTTTTTATCATATACAAAACATTTACATAGTTCCAAAATAAAACTGTAAAACAAGGTATATTCACGTTTGGCTTCCATCCTTAATACTCTTCATCCTCTCCCTACCCTCCCTTTCTGTTGAGTAAATGTTGTTAAATAACAGTTTGCAGATCAGATTTGACCAACCTCCCACACACTCCCCCCCCAAATGTAAACTTATTTGTTTACATATTGTTTTTTGCTTTTTTTTTTTTAATTTTTGGTACTGAAATTGAACCCAGGGTTGCTTTACCACTGAGCCACACCCCCAGTCCTTTTTATTTTGAGAAAGAGTAGTTAAGTTGCTGAGGCTAGTCTCAAATTTATAATCCTGCCTCAGCCTCCCTAGTTGCTGGGATTTCAGGAGTGCACCACTGCCAGGCTTTTTATGGCTTCTTTTTGTGTTTTAGTGGTGGAGTTGAGTAGCTATGACAGTGAATGTATAGGTCCTGTGAAGCCTAAAATATTTGTTTTCTGGCCCTTTCACACTCCCCAGCTGGGTGCTGAGGCTCTCAGTCACCCGTAAGGTTGGCCTCCCACACTTTACTGAAAAAGTTTGCCTAATCCTCTTAGGGAGAATAATTTTCATCAGTTTTTGACTTTTTTTTTCTTTTTTTAAAAATAAAAGCAAATAGAGCTAGGGTTGTGGCTCATGGTGGAGTGCTGGCCTGGCATGTATGAGGCACTAGGTTTGATCTTTAGCACCACATAAAAATAAATAAATAAAATAAAGATATTAAATAAATAGATAAAAGCAAATATTTTACTCAACATTTACTTTCTTTTTACATAAAAGGAAGCATACTACAAACCCTTTACTTGCATCTTGCTTTTTTCTATTGAACAATATTTCCTGAAAATCATTCTAATTAATCTCTAATTCCTAGACGAGCTTAGTTTTCATCTCCTTTAGGCTGTGCATTTCTATCTTTTGATTTTCTGCAGGTATGCTATTCTTTTCACTATTATTCTCCTTTCATTGTTTGACCAAAAGTACATTTCTGTGTTCATGTTTATTTCCTGTGCATTTAAGTGCATTTTCTTGGTGTGTGTGTGTGGTGCTGGGGATTGAACCCAGAGCCTTGTATATGCGAAGCAAGCACTCTGCCAACTGTGCTATTTCTCTAGCTCTCATTTAAGTGCATTTTGTAACATTAAAATATGATTAGCTCAGACTGGGGCTGTAGTTGAGTGACAAGAGTGCTTGCTTAGCAGGTGTGAGGCATTGGGTTCCATCTTCAGCATCCCATAAAAATAAAACAAATAAAATAAAGGCATACTGTTTATCAACAACAACAAAAATGATTAGCTCTAATGATGTTAAGGTAACTGTGTTACAACCTAGCAAACTATAAACTGTTGTAGATTAGGTACTGTGTCTTTTTCACAGTATGTTGCATTCAAGATAGTAGTCTATTTGGGTCAAATGCCATTGACCCCATGCTTGCTCTTTAGTCTAGCAATCTCAGTTATTGTAAATAATGTTTGTGTTGTAACACTGTCTTTGTAATGTCTGGAAATCTATAGTAAAAAAAAAATAATGTGCTTTTTAAGATATGCATTAAACAACTTTTGGAATACTTTGTGAGGCATTTCCCCCTTTCCAACAAGGCTTTCTACTTAATGTATAAGACTGGTGCTTTTTTTTTTATTAATTGCTCTGATCTTTTTTTTTTTTTTTAAAGAGAGAGTGAGAGGAGAGTTTTAATATTTATTTTTTAGTTCTCGGCGGACACAACATCTTTGTTGGTATGCGGTGCTGAGGATCGAACCCGGGCCGCACGCATGCCAGGGGAGCGCGCTACCGCTTGAGCCACATCCCCAGCCCCAATTGCTCTGATCTTGACATATCATACATTTGATTCAAATGGGGTATGAATTCTCATTTTTCCACGTGTACAGGTTGCAGGATCACATTGATTATATGGCCACGTATATACATACAGCAATACTAGTGTCTATTGTATTCTGCTGCCCTTCCTATTCCCCCCTCCCCTCCCCTCCCCTCCCATCACGTCTCTCTACCCAATCTACTGTGACACATTTCTCTCTCTTTTTTTTCTTCCTCCTCACATCATCATACATGTATTTTGTATAACGATGAGGGTCTCCTTCCATCTACCATGCAATTCCCCTTCTCCCTCCCATTCCCTCCTACCTCCCTTCCCTATTTAGTGGTAATCTTCTTCTCAAGCTCTTCCTCCTACTCTATTTTGAGTCACATCCCTTATATCAGAGAAGACATTTGGCATTTGTTTTTTAGGGATTGGCTAATTTCACTTAGCATAATCTGCTTTAATGCCATCCATTTCCCTGTAAATGCCATGATCTTGTTATTTTTTTACTGCTGAGTAGTATTCCATTGTGTATAAATGCCACATTTTTTTTTATCCATTCATCTATTGAAGGGCATCTAGGTTGGTTCCACAGTCTAGCTATTGTGAATTGTGCTGCTATGTACATTGATGTAGCTGTGTCCCTGTAGTATACTCTTTTTAGGTCTTTTGGGTATAGTCCAAGAAGGGGAATAGCTGGGTCAAATGGTGGTTCCATTCCCAGCTTTCTAAGGAATCTCCATATTGCTTTCCAAATTGGCTGCACCAATTTGCAGTCCCAACTGGTGCTTTTTTTTAGTTGTCAATGGATCTTTATTTTATTTATTTATATGCAGTGCTGAGACATCAAACCCAGTGCTAGGCAAGCGCTCTGCCACTGAGCTACAACCCCAGCTTTCTTGATATTGAAATGTTGTATGGATTAATTAGCCCTGATATGTTACTATTTCTTTTGTTTTAGGTTAAATGGAAACCACCCTTGGGAGCTAGATGCCTGTGTAGCTGTTCTACCACATCAGTGTTTTGCAATGAGTGGGGGAGGAGAGCAGCCGGATATCCTCAGTGTTGGAATCCTAGTAAAAGAAAGATGGAAAGTGGTGAGTGTACTTCTTGGGGTGTGTGTGTTTGTGTGTGTGTGTGTGTGTGTGTGTGTGTGTGTGTATGTGTGTTTGTACATATAGGGGTCAATTTTGGTATCTTGGTAAAAATACCATTTCATTAGGCAATAATACCTACATTGTTTTTGTGCCTAAAGCAGTTATTTTCTTATGATTAAGTTCTGTTTATACTTGAATTCTTAGTTTTTCTTCATAAAGTACTATAACTTCCTAACTTCTAGTAGCTATGTTAAGTAAGGTAAATGAAAGTGTACTTAAGGAAAGAACACATGAAAAAAAATATAGTGTTTGGAAGTACAGTGAACTGCATGTTCCTTTTAATTAAGGAAAATTATAAGTATTTGTTGTTCATCTTGATTGTTCTCTTTCATCTTCCGTCTAGAGTATTTTGACAAAATCTTTAACCTTAGTATTTCTGTACTTGCTTTAGTATGTATACTTAAAAAATCAGGACTTCTTTCTTAAAACATAATCATACGGGCTGGAGATGTGGCTCAGCGGTAGCGCGCTCGCCTGGCATGCGTGCGGCCCGGGTTCGATCCTCAGCACCACATACCAACAAAGATGTTGTGTCCGCTGAGAACTAAAAAATAAATATTAAAAAAAAACTCTCTCTCTCTCTCTCTCTCCCCTCTCTCACTCTCTCTTTAAAAAAAAAACATAATCATACTACCATTATCACACCCAAAGAAGTAATAATTTCTTTTTTTTAAGAGAGAGAGCAGAAAGAGGGGGAGAGAGAGAGAGAGAGAGAGAGAGAGAGAGAGAGAGAGAGAGAGAGAGAGAATTTTTTACTTATTCTTTCGTTTTTGGCAGACACAACATCTTTATTTGTATGTGGTGCTGAGGATCGAACCCAGGCCGCACGCATAACAGGCGAGTGCGCTACCGCTTGAGCCACATCTCCAGACCCCAGTAATAATTTCTTAATATCGAAGAATAGCCTTTCAGTTTTCACATTTCCCTTATTTTTTTGTAAATTGTTTTTGGTAATTTGAATCACGGTCTAAATTAGGTCTGGGTATTACAAGTGGTACTTATTCTTTCATTTTCTAGATTTTCTCTTTATCTGTATCTCTCTCTTTTCCTTAACATTACCGAAGAAACAAGGTGATTTATATGCAGAATTTCACATTGGTTTGGATATTACTAGTTGCTTCCATCAATGTTAATATGTCTTTCTGTCTCATATATTTCATGGAAACTGGTAATTGTATTTAGAGGGCTGATTATATATGAGTTAGGTTTGTTTCTTGAAGTGGGACCCCCCATTTTTTTTCATAAATGATATAATGTAGTTTTAACTAGAAGGGCTATTTTGTTATATTAGTAGCTATTGATGTGTATTGCCTAGGTCTGTTCATTGTTTTTTGGGGGGATGGTACTGGGGTTTGAAACTAGGGATGCTTTACTACTGAGCTATATCCCCAGTCCTTTTTATTTTTCATTTGAGACAGGTTTTTGCTAAGTTGATTAGGACCTTGTTAAATTGTAGAGTCTGGTTTTGAATTTGTGATCCTCCTGCTTTAGCTTCTGGAGTTACTGGGATTAAAGCTACTGTGCTCAGACCTATTAAATTTTTTTGGGGGGGGGATTGAAAATTGCTGATATTCTATCATTTTTTTTCATTTATTAGTTGAAATATACCTATAAAGAGAAATTTCTATCATCAGCTGTTTGATTAGGAAAGCAATGCTTGCTTATTTTGCTTAGTTCCCTAGCATACTCCAAAAGTTACCAGTGAAATTTGTTTTTTAGTATAGTTAAGAATTTGTAGATTTGATATATTTTAGTCCATTATAGTTTTTGTCCTTAAAGATATTCAAATTGTCTCATTTGACTAAGGGGGACATCCTTCAAGTTGTCTTCTGAATTCCTTTGACATGGTCCTAATAGACTTTATTTTTTAAAGGAATTGTTTTTGTTTTCAGTATATTTAAGTATTTTTATTGCTATCTAGTCTTTAGTCGCCCAAAGTTTTGTTCCATTAGCAGGTTTCACAAAGCTATTTTAGTGTTTTCCTTAATTTGTCAATAGATAGAAAAAGGAAAGACCCTTTAGCAATATTTTTTTTTTCCTGGGTTTTGAACACAGGTCCTCACCCGTGGAAAGTATGTGTGCTACCACTGAGCTATATCCTCAGCCTTTTTTTTGGCAGTAAAAATTTTGTTTCTATATTATAGGATGTTTTACTGACTAGGTAGATCAGTAGGCTTTGAAAATTTGCTTCACCAAATATAAGAACCATGTCATCATCATGGACTGGTGTAGGGAGATTACAAAAGTTGGTAATTGTTGCTTCGGTTCCTAGCATTGTTCTAAGTACAATGATAGGATTGGCTGTTCTCCAGTAGACATATCAAAAGGTAATAAGTGAAGATCTGCCTACATGGCTCTCTCTTTTCCTGATAATGAGAGCTAATATATTTGTGGAATTTATCCCCCCAAATTTGAAAGGAGGAGGGGCTTTTTATTTTATTTCTTTTAATTGTGCCTGGTATTGAACCCAGGGCCTTGTGCATGTGAGGCAAGTACTCTATCAACTGAGCTATATCCCGAACCCCAGAGTGGCATTTTTAATAACAGCACAGGCTCATTATTAGGATGGTACTTCAGTTACTTAATTGTTATATAACTACATCAAAACATAGACATTTAAAACAGACATTTTATTTGCTCACAATTTTTTTATTGATTAAAAAAATGATAGCGGAATGCATTACAATTCTTATTACACATATACAGCACAATTTTTCATATTTCTGGTTGTATATAAAGTATGTTGACACCAATTCATATCTTCATACATGTACTTTGGATAATGATGTCCATCACATTCCACCATTCTTACTAATCCCCTATCCCCCCATTTTCCCTTGAAACCCTCTGCCCTATATAGAGTTCACCTATTCCTCCCATGCTCCCGCTCCCTATCCCACTATAATTTTGTGGATTATAAATTAGGGACCGGTATGCTTGGGTGGTTTGTCTTTTTTAGTCATGTGGCACTAGTAAGATTGGTTGGGTTGGAGGATCCACTTCCAAATGCTCACTTCTGGTACCTTTGGGATCTTTAGCTCTTCCACTGTCTCCAGTTTCATAGTTCATTTTCTAGAAAATTTCCTATGGCTGATTTTTTTTGGTATCTGGGATTGAACCCAGAGACACTTAACCATGGAGCCACATCCCCAGCCCTTTTTTATATTTTATTTTTAAATTTTTTTTTTTTAGGTGTAGGTGGACACAATATCTTTGTTTACTTATTTTTAGGTGGTGCTGAGGATTGAACTCAGTGCCTCATACATGTGAGGCTGGCACTATACCATTGAGCTACAGCCCCAGCCCATGTTTTTTTTTTTTTTTTTTAGAGTCAGAATCTCACTAAGTTTCTTAGGACCTTGCTAAGTTGCTGAGGCTGGCTTTGAATTCATGATCCTTCTGCCTCAGCCTCCTGAGTTGCTGGGATTATAGGCGTGCGACACAGAGCCTGAATGTGGCTATGTCTATGACTTCTAAAGATGGTCACATGCATTATTTTGTAGCTGGGTTTTTAAAATATGGTTTTTATTGGTGCATTATAATGCATAATAGTGGGGTTCATTGTGACATACTCATACGTGCATATAACATTATTCTATCACTTTCCTTCCCCAGTACCTCTCTTTTCCCTCCTTTCCTTTCTCACCCTGATCCCCTTCATCTACTTTACTGGTGTCCCTTCTATTATTTTCTTAAATTAGTGCATTATAATTTTACATGAAAATGGAATTCATTGTGGTATATTCATGCATGGACATTGCATAATTTATTTGATTTTTTTTCCCCCAAAACCTCTTTTTACTCTCCTTTCTCCCTCTCAGTCCCCTTCCTCTACTCTATGGGTTTCCTTTCTATTTTTGAGAGACCCTTTTTTTTTATTATTATTGTGACTTGTTTTCAAAAGACAGGAAGCAGAAACTACTAGGTAGTTAGGGGTTGTCCTCGGAATTGGCACAGTGTTCCTCTCCTCTGTTTTGTTGGTTAAATCACTTACAAAATTCACCCAGATTTAAGGAGGTGGGAAAATAGAATCTGTCTCTTGATGGGAGAATGGCAATGTCACATTTTCTTTTTTAATATGAAAGGCCTTCTTCACACTGAAGAAGAGTAAGAATTGGACAGAGATACAGTAGTAGTCATCTTTAATCTGTGTATCCCCATCTACTAAACTGCCTCTGTCCCTTAGCCTCAGAAGCATTGATAATGTCTTAGGGTTTTGTCAAGATAATTTAGAAAATACTAATGCTTTATTTATTTTATTTTTTCATTTGTTCTAATTAGTTATACATGACAATAGAATGCAGGTTGACACATTGTACACAAGTGGAGCACAACTTCTCACTCCTACAGCTGTACATGATGCAGAGCCACACTAGTCGTGTAGTACACGTATATAGGGTAATAATGTTTCTTATTCACTAATGCTTTATTTATACTCAAGTGGCAGTATAAGAATAAACTAATGGCAAAAACATTTACTAAAGTCTAATTTTTTTATTTTTAAAAATTCTGTCATTTGGTAAGGTTTTGTGAGGTAAAACAATAAGCCACCCCCTCATCTATCCATAATTAGAAGGACATCCCTTTGGAACTATTTGTGAATTTTGTTATTGTTTTGAGCAGGGTCTCATTATGTTGACCTATTTGGCTGTGAACTTCTGAACTCTTTCCTCCTGCCCCATCCTCCTGAGCAGCTGGGACTACAGATGTGCACCACTATGTCCAGCTTATTTTTGAGTTTTTCAAGTTACTCTAGGCTTTGTTTAATGGACAAAATATATAGAATCATAAGCAGTAATCATGGCCCAACAAACAGCAACATATTTAATTGAATAGTTCTGAAGCTTATTTTTTAACTCAAGCTCATCCTATAGTTCCTCAAAATATTTCTTTCCTTACAACAAACCAAAATGAATATCAATTATGACTCAAACATGCAAATTATTAGTTATTAAGCAATAACTATGTAACTGGGATTTTTCCAAATGCTATAGGACTTAAAAGAAGTAAGATAAATGACTCTCTCTTTGAAACTTTTTCTGTAGTGGGGTGGGACATTGACAATAGAAAGTTAAGCAACATGAGTTAAAAAGTAGTAGAATAATACATAATAATAATTTTTGAGGTGTGGACTGATAAAATGATTAATTGAATGACTAAACAAATTATTCTCATAGAAATTCAGATGAGAAAGAAATTAGCCTAGGTATAATAATCAATGAAAATTCAGTGGAGAAATAAATAAGTAGGACATGACATGGGGCCTCTTGAGGGGTTAGGATTTAAGACCCCCATGCTTCTGGTGATGGCTTCCTGTGTTATATCACATCCTAGGGATTTGAAAATATAAGGAAAAGACGATCTAGGGTCAAGAAATGGAAGATGACTGATTTCATGCTATCTAACTTGAAATACATCACCTACTCCATTTTCTTTAGAACCTTATAGGTCTAGTTGTCTCTAGCTCATCAGAAATTGTTTATGATACCAATACAAAATCATGATGTTTCCCAGTTAATTTTTCATCTTATTAGAAAAATATTAAATATTTGATGAAAGTACTTAAATCAATTACAACTTACTCTTATTTGAATGTGTAGATGCATAACTCTGGGATTCTTCAGAGTAGTTCTCTGCCTGCTTTGTGGAGCCTGTTAGTTGCCTCAGAGAAGAGTCATTAGTGGTGAGAGGGATGGGTGTTGGCTCCATCTTCTGACCTCCCCTGTACGCATACACTAGATTGGTTCCAAGTGAGATATCAATTGGCAAAAAGATTTTATGGTTTAAAAAGTGTGAAGATGACTGTTTTAGAGTTAAAATAATAAATCTGAGTGGCATTTGTGGAAGTTGATTCTTTCAGATATTATATTTTTTGTGACTTTTCTCCTGCTGCCTATAGATCAAGTTTTCAAATTGTTTGTTACTGAAATAATTTCATTACTTTTTGAGGAAGACCCTTGGAAAAAGGTTTTGATGTTATTTTCAGGCTTTTGATTTCTTTTTGCCATATACATAGTTAATTTAACAGTACTGAATATTTTATCATAAAATGAGGATTGTTAAATTATATATATTTTTTCTAAATAAGAGATCTGAATTTGTTCCCAGTTAGAATCTTCTCATAATTTTGAGTTTATTCTTATTTTATTTTCTGTGCAGTTGAGAAAAATTGGGGGTGGGGGCTTTGGAGAAATTTACGATGCCTTGGACATGCTCACCAGGGAAAATGTTGCACTGAAAGTGGAATCAGCTCAACAACCAAAACAAGTTCTGAAAATGGAGGTTGCTGTTTTGAAAAAACTACAAGGTAAGCTGCTTTGGATGATACACAATTTATAATTTGTATGATAATTTATAGTTTAGTATTCTTGAACCTTGACTACATTTTCTGGTATCTGCTAGGTATAAACATGCTGAGAATTTTTTTCTTGAAAATTTTATCACAGTTAGTAGTAATAGAGATGTGTGATTGCTTAGACTAATTGGATTTTGAGAATTCCTTTTCAAGGTAAGGATGAGAGAGTGAATTTAGCAGAGTCACTATTGCTTTAGAAAGTATTGTACTAAATCTGCTATGGTAAAATTTGCTTTATTAAAAAAAATCAATCATAAAATACCTCTGAGGTTTCTTTGGATGTTAAAAAAATCACATTAAGGAAGTTGACTTCAGATCATACTACAGGATGGTTTTAAAAGAATATACTGCTCTTTTATGTATTCTCACTACTTGAGTTTCAGAGTATAATTCTTGCCATTTTCAGTTTTGAAAGTCCACTTTACTACTCAGGTCCCTATGTTTTTACTACAAGGTCAAATAAGTTTTTTCTGATGTCAGTCTAGTCATAGTCATATAAAACCCTGAAATCATTGCTAGTTTGTGTTCATCTTTGTAATAACTATTTAATGAAACATTGTGATACTACAAATATTAAAGTGTTTGATATGAATCAAAATTAAATAAAGATGATCATTCCATTTTGCCCTAAGCTTTCTGATTATACAAGTTTCTCTCCCAGTTTGTTCAGTTGATTAGAGTATGATCATAATAAAATTATAAATCTATTTAGTAGTTATATTTAGTTTACACTTAGCTTTACCACAACATGGCAAATCAGGAAGATAGTAAATAGATTAGCATCCATTGTCATTACTAGACAAAGAATTAGAGGAGAAAGAATAGAGAAAAAGATGTTTTTTAATTTTTCTCCCTTTTCTCCTTTTCCCTATTTCTCTTGAGTTGTTCTCAACTCAGTGATGTTGAGGCCACAAACAGGTGCAGCTGGAGCCCTTTTCAAAAGTGCACAGATCCCAGGATATTTGTTCTACTCCCAGCATCAGCTTGGCCTGGACAGTTTATCTTCACTGACCTTTGATTTGTTTGACCCTGAGGAGATGCTTCAGTGAAGCAGGAGACAGCTCTGCAGTCCCTTTAGGAGGTTCTCCTGCTTCTTTTGGCTGTACTTTATTCAGGATTTATGTAATAAAGCTTAAAGATCAATTAGTGCCTTTTATAAGTAAGTTGGAGACCCTGGATATTAGTGCTCTCCTTTACTTCTACTTTATTTTTCCTATTATCAACCTAAAATGTTTTTTTTTCCTATCTGCTTATAACCACATGATACCCTATCCTTCAGAATTCTTCATTTTTCAAAAATGGATAGGTTTTTAAATCTTTTGGTCTCTATTTCAATGAATAGTCTTTGAGTGTGTTCTCTTTTTAATTTAAGCCTTCTGCATACTTATGCCTTACATCTTCCTTTTACTGAGATTGCTTTGGAATCTGGATTCTTTTGAGAACATTTTTATGAGACCGAACTGTTTTTGCTTTCCTAGCAGCATGGAGATTTAATATTGAATGACCCCAATTAAAGAATTAAAATGTATAAGGAAACAGTATATGAATAGAGGTACCCTCTATTATAGGATTAGTTTGTCTTAAATTGATGTTCAATTTTTGATATTTTATGATGAGTTTAGCCTGGATCCTAAATCTTGCTCCTTTAAATAAATCAATCCCCTTTCTCAGAATTCATGTTATGCCTTTTCTCAGATTCCCTCTATTCTCATTTATCTTTTTTTTTTTTTTCAGTCTTTCCTGCACTGAACAGCCTGGATTTCCTCAGCTCTGAAAATCTCTCATTATTAATATCTTTCTTTCGTTGACCCTATCCCATGAAGTCCTTACCATTTTATCCTGTATTTTATTTTGGGGAACCTTCCCTGTGCTACTTCACCAGATTAGTTTCTTGGATCTCTCTGAATCATTCTGGATGAAACCTGCAATACTTTATTGAATCAAGCTCAACTCTTCAATTTTACTTGGTTTTTACAAATGTGGTTGAGTGTTTTAATCGTTTCTAAACTAAACCACCTATTTTTAGGTTTGATACTTCCACACAAAGTTGATAGTCTCTAAATTGTCCCTAATAAGTAGAGCCTTAAACTTGTTCAGCTTTTCTGTTTAGTAACATAATTGTTCAGAGGTAAATCTCTTCATAACCATTTAGTTGTGTCTCTTCTTTTTCTCCATTTGTGACTATATTATCTTCATCTTTTATCAGTTTCTTTGCATTGAAATCCTGTGCAAAGGGGATAATTGCCTCCCTATTCTGTTAAAGTCTTTTTTTTCCTTAAGTAAATGTTTGACAGTGATATACTACTTATTGTCACTTATCCATTTTAATGATCTCTTATGCTGTGTCTCAATTCATGACTGTTTTTATTTTTAATAAGTCCAATTTTATTTGCAGTACTATTACAAGATTTAAACAACTTCTGTCCTTTGACTTCGAATCACTAGTAATTCTATAATACCTCAGGAGCCATAAGTACCTATATAAAAAATGGATTTCCATTTTAGTTTTAACAAAATTTGGTACATGTCTAGAATCCTGAATTGAAAGTGACAATTAAATTAAATTATTAAATTAAATAATTTTTTTTAAATATAGATTTTTTAGTTGTAAGTGGACTATTTTATTTATTCATATGTGGTGCTGAGAATTGAGCCCAGGGCCTCACACATGCTAGGCAAGCACTTTATCACTGAGCCACAACCCTAGCCCCTTAAATTATTTTCCTCCTGGTTTTCTAAACCCTTTATTTGAGCAGTTTTAAGTTCACAGGAAAATTTAAAAATATATGCATTTAGAAACATTCCACAAATTGCCTTCCCTGTCATACACAGTCTCCCTCATTACCAACATTCCCTACCAGAGCAGTGCATTTGTTACTATTGATGAACCTACACTGACATATCATTATCACTTCAAATCCATAGTTTACTATAGAAAACTTTTGGGTCACTCAGTGGGGTTTACTTTTGTATTGTACATTTTATGGGTTTAGACAATTGTATATATAAAAGGGTGGATAATATAGTATATTACAATATGAAGAATTCATACACACATATTTTTTCACTGCCCTAAAAATCCTCTGAGCTCTTTTTGTTCTTCTTTCTCTCCTCCTGGCTACTACTAATCTTTTTATGATCCCTATAGTTTTACCTTCTTCAGAGTTTCATATAGCTGTAATAGTATGGTATTGGCTTTGTTCACTTAGTAATGTGCATTTAAATTTCCTTCACATCATTTTATGGCTTGATAGCTCATTTCCTTTTGGTATCAAATCATATTCCATTATCTAGATGTACTGGTTTATTTAACTATTGAAGGATGTCTTAGTTGCTTTCAAATTTGGGCAATTATGAATAAAGCCATTGTAAACATTTATGTGCAGGTTTTTGTGTGGACATAACTTTTCAGCTCTTTTGGGTAAATATCAAGAAGCACTATTGTGGCCTGGGGTTGTGTCTCAGCGGTAGAGCGCTTGCCTCACACATGTGAGACCCTGGGTTCGATCCTCAGCACCACATAAATATAAATAAGTGAAATAAAGGTATTGTGTCCAACTACAACTAAAAAATAAATATTAAAAAAGAAGCACTATTGCTGGGTTAGATAGTAAGAAAACATATAGTTTCATAAGCAACTGTGAAACTATCTTCCAAAGTGGCTATACCATTTTGCATCTAGTGGCTACAACTGCATTTGGCAGTTAGCTGTTTCTTCAAGTCATCACTAGCATTTGGTATTGTGAGTGTTCTGGATTTTGGTCATCTAACAGATATATAGTGATATCTTGTTGTATTAGTTGTATAATTTCCCTGATGATATATGATGTTGAGCATTTTTTTGCACAATTATTTACCATCTGTTGTTTTTGTTCTTCCTCCTCCTCCTCCTTTCCCTCTTCCCTTTTCATTATTTTCCTCCTCCTCCTGCTCTTCTTTCTCTTCATCTTCCTCTTCTCCTTCTCTTCCTTCCCCTGCTCCTCCTCCCCTCTTTTTAAAAATATTTTTTTTAGTTATGGATGGACACAATAGCTTTATTTTATTTATTTATTTTTATGTGGTACTGAGGATTGAACCCAGTGCCTCGAGCATGCAAGATAAGTACTCTACCATTGAGGTACAACCCCAACCTTCCTTTTTTTTTTTTTTTTTCTTTTGGTACTGGGGATTGAACTCAGGACACCCTTTACCACTGAACTATATCCCTAATCCCTTTGCAGCCAGGGTCTCTCTCTGAATTGCTGAGGCTAGCCTGAAACCTATGATCATCCTGCCTCAGGATTATAGGTATGTGCCACTGTACTCAGCATCTGTATATCTTCTTAAGTAAGGTGTTTGTTAAAATCTGGTTCATTTCTTTTTTATTGGTGTATTATGATTACACATAATAGTGGGATTCATTATGTCATATTGATACATATAATGTAATTTACTCAATCTTTTGGCCCATTTTTAAATGAAATTGTTTTCTTATTTTAGAGTTCTTTGAATGTTTGTATATCAGACCTATATCAGATAAGTCTTCTATTATAAATATTTTCTCCCAGTCTATGGATTGTCATGTTATTTTGTCTTTCTCAGAGCAGAAATTTTTAATTTTGATGAATTGTTTTCTTTCATGAATTGTTCCTTTGATGTTGTATGTAAAAAGTCAATGCCAAAGCCTGTGGTTGTAGCTCACTGGTAGAGCACTTGCCTTGCATATGTGAGGTTCTGGGTTTGATCCTCAGCACTACATAAAAATAAATAAATAAAAATAAAGATATTGTGTCCATCTAAAACTAAAAAAATATTTTTAAAAAGTCAGTGCCAAATTCAAGGCTATCTTATGTTATTATCTTTCTTGGGTTTTTCATTTTACATATAAATATATTATCTGTGTGAGTTAATTTTTGCAAAAAGTGTAAGGCTTGTGTCTAGATGTATTTTGTTGCATTTTAATCTCCAGTTGT